GTATATTCTAATACTTAGTTTCATAGGTATTATAACGACTTTTTTTTTTAAATTTTGATTGATATGAAATACATTATGAAATATTTTAATTAATATTTATTGTTTTATAAAATAAATACTTTTTTATGATTCCAAGAGTACTGTAGTTTTTTTCAATAAAACTTAACGAAAATACACGGGAATCAAAAAACCAACTGCAACGCATTGTTTATTAATACTTTCTGAATGGCCAAGTTAAATATTGAAGCAGTATCTCTATGGCCGAATTATTTATAAACATATCTAAATACGAGTGCTAGTGACGATCAAGGATCGGCGGCGGCCGTCAGCACGCTACTACTAGCGCTGATCCGTGATCAGTGGTGGCASTGAACGTGTTAATTTATAATTTATAATTATAGAAAACAAATAATAATATTAATTATTGATCAAATTTAATTTCTCATTTATTGTATCAAGTTTCATGAAATATAAATTGACAATAACAATAATTTAAACTAGTACATATGCAATTTATAATTACTTTAGCAATTTCTGGATCTACAATTTTCATGATCACTTGTGCTTGCAATAATGCATAACCAAGTTGAGGATTCTGGAGTAACATATTTCTAGCTTCTACAGGATTGTTCTAAACATTGAAGTCAGTTTTTATAAATTAAATATTTAATAAATTGATTAGAAATATTACTTGAATGCATTCTTTCATTTGTTTCATAAGTTCAAACAATTGTTCTGGAGGTAAAGTGGAAACTACATTGTTTATTATTTCTGGTGCTTTTTCTGCATTAACTGCATCTCCATAATGACTTTCTGAAGTAGGCATTCCCATCATTAGTGCTATAATAGATGTGTTTTTAGAATAAATTATATTTTGTACAGATTAGATAATTATTTAAATTTACATTGCATTTCTAGTCTGGATTTTTCTGTACAGGCATTGTCAACACGTAGAGTACGACCTCCGATTTCATAGCCATTGAGRTTACGCATAGCACTAAGTGCAGTCTCTTGATCTTTATATTCACAAAATCCATAACCCTTAGGTTTACCDGTTTCTCTGTCATACACTAATCTGCAAAAAAACAATTTGTTTAAATTACAATGAAAACTGATTTATATCACTCTACTCACTTAAATGAGATAACCGGTCCTACTTCATTAAATATATCTTTTAGTTTTTCTTCAGTTGCCTCATACGGAATATTTCCAACTAAAATGGTGACAAATTATTAGTGTGTACATTAAAAAACTTTTGATAAACATACCAAAAACACTTCTCATAGACTTGTCTAAAATGTTTTGTTCAGTCATTTTATTAATATAGAAATAACGGAATATTTGAGATTACAAATAAAAGTTTAATAATTGCTGTTAAACAATATTGACGATTTTTCAAATAAACACTCGTATAAAGTGATACCTTAGAGTCGAAAAATTGGTAATTAACAAATAACCGTTATGAAAAAACTGCAATAATAGTAAATTCCAAATAAACCTAGAATTTAACTCGTTTCAAATACATAACAAATGAAGAATACATTAAAACGACCAACTACAAAATAGTCATGGCCGTTGCAAAAAAATAATAATCAAAAAGAATTCCAAATTGTTTTATTGATATGAAGAGTGGAACTACCGAATATGACGGACCATAGATTTATGATAGTACGATTCCAATTCTACAGGGTAGCCATACAGGTTGAATACTAAATAAACACCTTGCCGCGTCGCATCTCGCAGAATTCCTAAATTTATACTTAAAATATTTATATACCAATATAAAATAATAGCAATAATAGCATGCTCCCCAAAACCCGTAGAATAATTATTTGTTACCTACTATATGCCTAAACGCCCTAAACCAGTTAGATTGGGTATCGTGTAAGTTTTTAACCGATGGGAATGCTAATAAATATTACGCTTTTCTCTGTGACGATTATTTCAGACAAGGCAGACTTGTCGTTTACCCGAGTAAATATTTCGTTTATTATTACAATCCAATTATACTATAACTGTTGTAAATAACCAGTATGAAGACGATGGTGATGGCAATGACAATGAYCAATTAATATTATAGTCTCGACCCAAATGTAATCATATTGAATTTTGTACATAGTGTTATATTAAATATTTTAATGGTCGTAATTATTGGGTAATTATCTATTAATGAGGTGATGTACTATGTACATGAATACAGGGTTCTGTGAATTTAGATAAACATATAGGTGTATATATATATATATATATATGTATATGCCGCCACAGGCAATTCAATAAAATATCATAAAATCGCTAATAATCATGGATAAATAAATATCAAAGTAGTATTAATATYATATTATACAAAAATTTAATTCGAGGCAACAGCTGCAGGCTACAAACCGACTGCAGGCTGCAGCCTGCTGCTGAGTGTCGAGTGATGACATATGAATGATTAATGAGGTGATACAAGATGATTCCATTATCATTTATCCTTAGATCATACATGATCTAAGCATATTTTATCATTACGTGCAAGTGTCGAATGATAAGCGAAGAAAATGGAGACCTTATTGAGACTGTGGTTTATAATAAGTAATAACTGAAACAACTTATGAGTAATGACTTAATAAATATTATTAAAGTGTTTCAGTCTTTGACGGTATAACTGTGTACGTTGCAAATATTTTGATCCTAGTTGTTTGTCGATAATATCCACAATTATAAAACAATCGACAATAAAACGACTTGTCATTAATAGGTGATAACCCAGACCATTCGCCTTTCTAATTYGGCAGATATTTAAATACTAGTGTCTAGTGTAACATTAATTATAATAATGTGATAGGAAAATCTACTTTCTCTTTACGACCGAAGCATATTAAATGACGGCAGTGTTCTTCAACAATACTTTGAGGCCTGTACTCCTTTGTTTCGCTAAATATTCTACAAAACGCACAAGGAAAATGGTGAGTTATTAAAGACGATATTGTTTCCGGTGTGTAATGTAAACTATTTATTGTAATATGTATCAATAGAAGACTCAGATCTCTGAGTACAGATATACTTGGGTGTGGCTTGAAATCAATAAACCACATATAAGTTTTCTACTTTGTCACAGTCTTTCATATTATGTTAATGTTATAAACATAAATAATTCCTTTACAGGAAAAATAAACATTGATGACTTTTAAAAATCATTTAAGGGTTCGACAGATCACATTGACCATATTGTTCTCAAAACCTCAACTTATGGCCATAATAAATTGGTGGCAGTAAATCACTTTAAATATCTAGGTGATTTTTTTTTTAAATGGTTTTTTAAAACATGCTGGGAAAAAATTTTACAAACCAAATGTATATTACCACTATTGTAAAATGCACTTTTGGTTTTATATACTATATTTATAAYATCAACTGTACCTAAGTGTGTAGGTGGGTACGTCATTTCTAAAAAATATAGTATTATAAACACATATTTTTTATATAAACTGCAGTTTTTTTACCAAATTAAAATTATATTAATTATAGGCATTGATTAGGTGCAAGCTTAAGAAAAATTAAATAATAATTAATAATGCAAGTGTATATTATTAATAATATTAAATTACAAATCTCATCTTAATTTATTTAAATAAACATTTACTATTTTTATTAAAAATCCCATCAAACTAACCCCTTTCCCACCAAAAAAGATACTGAGTCGAAATTTGAAGTATTATTTCTATTAATAATTGTTACATCTTARATAGGCGAAAAAAAAACATATTTTAAATCAACACTCATTGCTCCGCTCAAGACCAAAAAATAATTGGACAGCTTTGTCAATCATTTGACTAAATTTTTTCATTTGATTTACATCTATAATATAACCTATATTCACTTTTAATTACTGACTTTGGTACTGATTTATAAGTTAGTAACTGATTGTATTGTAACTGATTTAATGAAATAATATAATAATAATTATACATTATACTATGTGTATTTGCTGTTATCAAAAATTAGTTCAAACTAACAAATTATTGATATTGTTAATGCAATATAAATGTTTAATTATAATATATCCTTCACAATATTGGCTGACATACTGTTTCCATTCAGAATGGATTTTGCATTTAGTTGATAACAGAGCAAAATTATTTGTTTTTCCAAATTATTTTGAAAAGTATTTGGCAATTTTTACATTTTACCTACTGAAGTTCTTTAACTACAATTAATTTGCTACCAAAAACCACCTTCATAGTTAAAAATTTAATTATTTTGACTGCTCCAAAAGGTTACAATAATAATAATAATAATAACATACATTGTAAAACTAATAAATACATTCATCAAAATCAAAAATTTGGATAGAACGTTTTATTTTTTAAGAATTTAATTTCTCATATTTTAAAATTTTAACGCTTCAAGAATGACGTGCTCTAATGTTTGTGAATTATTTCAGCCGATTCTATTAACCAAGGAACAGAGAGAAGAGTTACTCCAACCATTATTCTCCAATCAATGGTCATTAGTGAAAGACAGAGATGCTATATACAAGGAATTTTTATTCTCTAACTTTATTGAAGTATGTACATTGTATATTCATTTAATAACTTTATTAATTCTGTCTTTTATCAATATTTTAATAATTAGGCTTTTGGGTTCATGACTCAAGTAGCATTGAAAAGTGAAAAAATGGATCATCACCCTGAATGGTTTAATGTGTACAACAAAGTGCAAGTTACATTATCCACACATGATGTGGGTGGTTTGTCTTCAAATGATGTTAATCTTGCGACATTTTTGGATAAAACAGAAAAGAAAATTAAATCATCTTCATAATTTGTTATGTAATTTATATGTAATAAATATAAATTATGTGTAAAAAAAAAATACAAAATGTGTAATTATTCATTACCATTGTTATTTGGTAAATAATAATTGAAAGTTTTACATTAAAATATGGATGATTGTAGAATAATTTGTTTTTGTTCTTTAACATAACCACATGTGAATTAGATAAGTACTTATAACATAATTSGACAATCAAATTTGTCCTACATCAAAGTATTTGCTTGTACTTACTGTATTTAACAGAAAATTATTTTACTGACCTGAAAATTATTTATTTTTTAGGAGGAATTTGCTGTTGTCTTTGCGTAGTTATTAGTATAATCAACATATATTAGGTTCATTAATTTATAATAACAAATTTTTAAAACATCAGTACAGAAGTAAACGTTTTTATTTGAATCTCTCCTAACCCTCCATTATCCAAACTGCAATTTGACACATCTGAGTGTCTTCAGARGTCCTACAGGATATCCATTTATCCCCAATTTTGTTTGCCATTTTTTTAATAGACAAAGGCAATTTTTTAAATTTTGTGATTATTAAATATATGCTGATTATTCAAA